AGGTGCCCCACTACTCGTGAATGGGCACCATAAATGCGACGCGATTATGGATGTCACACGTCCCTGAATCTGTGTACTAGTGCGACCCGCCGCGAGCATGACCCCGCGTTGTGTCTAGGAAACCTACTCTTGGGCCGATCCTTAGATGGGCTCGAGGCCACAAAGGGATAGGGGTAGGATGAGATGGGCCACTAAAGCTCTAATCGGTGGTGCGGAGCCACATGACCATCTCACCCTATGTTCGAGTCGTCCGCTTCGAAGTCGCCAGGGTTGACCCCCTCTAGGGGAAGGAAACTTGCCCCCTAACCGCTGCGGAGGTAGTCGGGGACCAAGGGTTTGACGGGCAACGATTTATGGGACATCTCTTGACGAGGCACAGCCGAACTCCATGTTGATTGGGGAGGATAGCAGGTGCCACTTGAATTACCCATCGACCCCGATGAAGCACACCGCTCTGACGACATAGTTACAGTGGACAAGCCTCTCCCCACGTGGGACAAATCTTAAAATCAGTCTATAACAGGGAGGTACGACCCCTCAGGGTTGGAAAGGATAGCGGGAGGGAGCCAAAGCCGAGCTCGAATAGTTCTGACAGCCAAGACAAAGGCGGAATGAGCAGCGAAGGGAGACGCCGCCGAGCGATCACTAGCAGCCATGCACCTCCCAGGTAAATCTCTTGAGTTTGATTCACTTCGACCCCTCTCTCAATTGTAGCACATAGCAATGGAGGGTGATAACAAGGTTAGGGAACTCGAGCCGAAGGGGTCATATATGTGGTGGCTTCTAGAAATGCGAACCGCACCCTTGCAGATTCCACCCTGGGACGAGCCCCACGGGCCCTCGACAAGCGAGCTACCGCACCGCAACAAACGCGCGGTGTGGCACATCATGCATTTACACGTGAACAAGCACCATTAAGTCATGTCGCGATCTAGGTGGCAGCGAGCCCCTAAGTCCACCCACAGGGCTCCCACCGCAACCATGCCCCCACGTTGTGCTTAGGAAACCCACTCTTGGGCCGACCCTTAGATAGGTTCGAGGCCACCAAAGAGATAGGGGCAGGACAAGATGGGCCCCTGCGGCTCTTATCGGTGGTGCAAAACCTCACGACCATCTCCTCCTATGTTCGAATCATTCGCTTTAAAGTCGCTTGGGTTGACCCCCTTTGGGAAGGCATCTTGCTCTCTGGGCACTGCAGATGTGGTTGGGGACTAATGGGCTTGATGGCCAACGATTTATGGGACGTCTCTCGATGAGGCATAGCCAAACTCCATGTCGATTGTGGAGGATATTGGGTCCCACTTGAATTACCCATTGACCTCAATGAGGCGCATCGCTCCAACCACGTGGTTATGGTGGACAAGCCTCTCCCCGCGTGGGGCGAAATCGAATGTGCCTATAACCAGGCATCACGACCTCTCTGGGTCGAAAAGGACGCCAGGGAAAAAAGGAGTGAGGCCCATGCGGCCCTGATGAGGGTCGTGGCCAAGCCACGACCGCCTCCTCCCCTACGTCTCAGGTCGCTAACCCATCATCATCCTAGAATCTCATGAATCAGTGGTGGCTAGCAGTTGCACTATGGAGATCGGACCAACGGCTAAAAGACCCACAAAGGCACCCCCACAAGGGAGGCACCTATAGACACATGAACCGCGCCCCGGTCACACGTGACAAGGGATGCTTCAAACCCCATGCGATAATCCTTGGCTGACGAGGGCATCCTAGACCATGCCTCTACTAGGGAAAGCGACCATGACTCAGCCACTACCGAGAGAACTTGAAGAAATGAGCTCAAAGGACGGTCATAGCAATGGCCAACTCAAAGCCACGACCTAGAAGCCACAGGGCTAACCCTAGCCATGGAACTGAAGAGTTCATAGCAACCTCAAAGCAAACACAGAAAGGGTCTCACCCCTAAGCTTCGGAAACAGGCACGACCAAGCCACGTATGAAAATACAAATCTCGAATCACCATGTCGGTGACAACTCCAGTAAGCCCTAGGAGACCCTGCTACTGCCACAGAAGGACAAGGCGAAAAAGAATGTCACGCTAGCCTTCCTGTAGCAACAGGACCCTAGGGGCACAGGAGCATAGGAGGATGCAAGGAGGTTGCACTAGCTCAAGGATGCTTGAATGGGCACTCATGGGCTTTCACAGGCACCATTGGGACATAGACAGAGAGCCTTGGGGTAAGGCAAAACCCATCTCACCCAAGATGGGATTGCCTGATCCCCATAGTGTGTGCGCACCACAAGCGTATTCTTCGCCGCTTGCAAGACCCCTTCTACCACCGGTTGTCGAAGGGGCGCCACCAGCTTCCGAGCTCCACCAGCTGCCCCTAGTGGGACGCATAACGAGAACCACACAGTTCTCCTTAGACCTTTCTCCCTCATCTCCTCATTCTCTCAACATATAACCACTCAAAGAGGCAAAGAATAGTTTTTAGTCATGGTCATGAGTGCCTCGAATGGTAGAAAGGCCCCCATTTATGGGCCAAGGGTAGACTAAATAGCCAGAGATCCCCCGCGCCGCGTGACAAACAACGGTAGGTCACAGCCAATATCAAATGCCCATGTAAGGTCATGAAAATCAAGACCCTCCCAAAGGCAAGGCCAGTACAGCGTCAACGAGACCACTCGGCCCCGCCTGGGTCACGAACCTTGATATGTAGCACACTGACACGGCAGGCTCAGTAGTCGTGTACCACGTCGTCAGGGCGTCCTGACAGAGCGGAGCATGATGGCCACCTACCACATTGAACACACCAGCCTACTAAGGGATCGAATGACGAAGCTCGAACAAGCCACGACTACGAACGCGCATTCAACCTACACGCATTTCAGCACTTTCACGATCCCTTCGAGATCATAAAAATGCTTGGGGGCTACTGTCGGGGTTATGATCCCTGGGTGTCTCAAGGCACCGATTAGTTAGCAGGGCGAGTGGCCTGCTATACATCAGTTAACGAAGGCCCGAATGACCCAGCTGAGCCAAGTGAACCAGGCCGAACACCAAGGCCACGGTCAGCCACGACCCCTCCCTTCTGCCTTAGCCGCACAACGCACAAGAGACTCATGACCTCTCCACCGTCCTGACCCCTAGGAGGAAAGGGGAGATGTCGAACCCAGCCAAGCATGCCTGCTCTGACAAGAGTGAGCATGCCGCACTGACCCCACAAGGACCGAGGGGACAACGGTCACCTTGGTTCGGTCAGACACCATCCCTGTGCCACACGACATAGACAAGACAACACCGCACGGCGGTGACCGCCAGCGCGGCCACCCAAAGACCAAATACGGTCCAATAGGACACATGTACGATTCTACCCACTACGAGATGGGATCCACAACAGAGGCCTTGATTTAGGGGCCATCCCAACCAACGGGAGCCTTAACCCCGAAGCTCAGGATCGTGGCCTCCTACTCGACGACCGGGGGTGGCCACCAACTCTTGTACGGTGCCTCCAGAACATCAGGAGGCTATGACGAAGGCCATAATAGAGAACACATCGCAAAGGACGGCTGGCAAACCACCATCGTGCCTACAGTACCGCCACGGCCTGCACAATTAGCGCCACGCCACACCTTACCGTGACGTGGGCATAAGACCATGATGACAACCACGCCCAGGCGTACTTCACAAGACGACGTAGCTTGCAAGCCAAGTTAGCTAGGCCCCTCCTCAGGCTCACGACCCCTCGGTCGGGAGAACTTTCTTCTTTGTACATGCCCTGGCCCCGGACTCTATATATGGGCAGCCAGGGCATCCTTCCGAGAGGATCCGAAATCTTCAACACATTCACACCGTAGTAGGGCTCCTGAGGCTTCCCTTCAGGCAGTCCATCCCCTAGCTCTAGCTCTCCTACCTCTAGCTCTCCTACCTTTTCCATCATTCTTGCACCCCCCATTGTAAGAACTTCAGAGCATTCAAGCGAGGAACACACACTTGATCATCTCTGAGACTGGACGTAGGACTCCGGTCTGAACCTGTATAAATCCTCGTGTCTTTTGGATGCTACTATCGTCTTGCTAGTGCAGTGCGACAATTGTATAAGTTTACTAGTCCGGTTTACAGAACACCAACAGTAGTAATCTCCTATTGGTGGTGGCTTGCTACGATTGTTGTCTTGGCGGCTTGTCTCATTGGGTGATGGCAAGTTCGGCGTGCTAACAATGTGTTCCTAAATGGTGGTTGTTCTGTTGTTCCTTCTTGGTGAGAGTGGTTGTTTTTTGTTCTTTTATATAGTTTGTTGTTGTACTATGCTTTTTCTCTATTAATACATGCCCAACAAACTTCTCACTGATGTCTCTTTTTTTTTTTAAAAGAATCTTCAAGCGGAGCAAGTGCCAGTCAACCAGAGTGCTACACATGGCATGTCGAGCCCGCCACATCAGCAGGTGATGTTTATGCCAGGTCAGCAAGTTGTCTTGTATACAGTGAAAATGACTATGCAAGATGTAATCTATGAGTAAATATTACTATTTCTGATAGTTAAAGATCAATGCCTTCTAGCTGGCAACAATTTTTTTTGAGGGAAACCTGGCAACAATTTCCAACCCAGCAAGCTAAAAAGTATTTGTACAGTTTTTTTAACACGTTCTCCTTCCCACTCAACAAGTTAGGCTCAACTTTAAACTCTTAATACTTTGACAGGAACTATACAGAGAAAGAAATGTTGGCTAGGATCTCATCAAAAAAATATATACAATTTCTCTGTGTGAAATTGGCCTTATAGTTCCAGATTTTTGGCATCCTCCACTTGACATCAATTTGTAGATTTAGCTGAACAGATTTAGTTCCTTCGTCTCCTCATGTCGTTTTGCATCTTCAGCGATCCTAAAGCACTGCAACAAAGCGCAGACGGAAACAAGCATATACCATCTTAATTTCTTAATCAACGACTGTAATAAACAAAAATCATGTTTTACTCATCATAAATAATTGACATGAAAGTAATTACTAGTTTACACGGCAATGCAAAGTGTCTTACGGTTACTGTTCATGAGCCGGAGCGCGAGCACATGCTGCCGGGCGCCGGCGCGACGGCCATTCTGCGCTCGGCGGCCCGCGCCTTGGCGCACCGGTACGCGCACGTGGCGATCCAGAACGCCCACGGGAGCGCGACGAGCGCCAGGCCAACGGCGGGGAGCCAGGCTGGCGCCTCGTGCGGCGGCAGCAGGATGTAGGCCGCGAGGCACGCGCCGCCGCCGAGCAGGGAGAGGAGGAGCAGCACCGTCACCAGCCACAAGCACACGCTGCTGCCGCCCGGCGCGCCATGGCCCTCCTCCTGCTTGCCCGGCATCGTCGTGGTCGCTCGTCGGCGGCGGATCAACTTGATCGGCACCGGGGCGCTGGCTAGGCGCGCGTCAAGAAGAGCGGGGCGGTGATCTGCGTGACAATGACATCAACCGGCCGGTCGCCCACTTCTGCTCTTGTTCGTGGATGGGAATGAAATGAAACAAAGAAAACGTGCCAAAAAGTTCTGATCTGTTTTGTTCTTCGCCTTTTGTGGATCTTGGTTGGAGGATGAGAAGTTAGCAATGGAGATTCGCGTCGCAGGGCGACAGCATGGCCAAGAACGGAGCGAGAGGCGCATAGCGAATTCTGGACAGAGTTAGTTTTGGACACCCTATAATAGGCCACTAATGATGATGGGCTGGCATGCCGAAAAATGGACAGAATTAGCTTTGTCAGTTGAGTTCCATTGCAGAGCTTACAGTTTCTGCAGCAAGGGTAACATCTGGAAACTAGCAGCGAGTCAGTCAGATTAAGTGAACTTTGATGTCATCACACGCGCTTTACTCCATCCGTATTCATGACCCTGGAGAATTGCAGCGCAGGAAATTCTTTGCGTTCTGTGTTCATCTTCTTCATTCTCGAGTGAGCTGAGTGCGTCGGCGGCCTGACGTCAAGGCAGACGGTGCGGGAGCGGTGGCGTAAGGTTCGGTCGAACAGTGGTGGACAGCACCTTAGGCGTGCACCGCGTCCCTTGACATCACGGAGTTCGGCGAGATCATGGCGCTAGCATGTTTAGCCACAGCCATGGCCTGCTCGCCACGATGTGAGGTAATAGGTAAATAAACCAATATTTCCTTCCTCCTGGTTGTACCTGTATGAGCAGATCCCAACCCAGGCGTCCAGCTCCCTGTCATAGTGGCCTTGCCCTTTGAACTGCAGAGTCCTCTCGGCACTCGCCGATGAATGTCCAATCGAAGCGCTCCATGTCAAAGGCGTAGGTGCTGCAACGGTTGCGGTGAAAGTGGTAGACGATTGTCGGACCAACGTCGGGGTCGTAGCCCCACACTGACATGAAGACTGTGCACCCATCTGGGGTGCACGGCGTAGCCGCAGACGGAGCTGGACTTGAAGATAATAGTTTTTTCTATCTGTGGGTAGGGCGTTCGTCTAGGCGTATTCGTCCGGAAGCCAGTTCCGTGCGCAGCTATCGGGCCTAAACAGACAAGGCCTTGTGGCCTCCCAACTCATCTGCTTGCTACGAATATTTCTCCACTCCTGTGGCCTGTCCAACTCATCTACCTGCTGCGAACATCCCACACTCCCGACCGCAGCGGCAGCTTTCACCGCACTGTCCGCTTGTAGCCCACGACGCGCCGTCCACCGACCCCACTCTGTCGCGACCATCCCCGTCGCCCCCATCCTGCGCCACCCCCAGCCCCAATCTCGCACCGCATCGCGGCTCCATCCCGCACTGCGTGGGGCATCCCCTACCGCGCCCCTGTCCACCTTAGCTATCGCAGCTACGGCGTGCACCGTGCCACTAGGAGGAGGTCGCCAGCCGTTGCTCTCTGAAAGGGACCGTGACGCCTAAGAGGAGGAGGAGAGGGGCTGAATTATGCAACTTAAAACTCTAATTCTAAACTATAGCCTCTTTTTCTATCTTTAACAAAACATATGCAAAAAGATAAATTATCTAAATGTGCAACTACGATTTTGCTAGTATGTTGCTATCTTTACCGCAAAAGGAGTTATACAAACAATGTAAATGCGGAAGCTAAAGAGTAAGGTAGAGATATCCAAACTCCCGTCGACAACTCAGGTATTTTTCTCAAGATATCAAGAAGCGCAAGCTTCCCCTATTCCTCATTGGAGCCCCTCGCAAGGAATCCCACAAAGAGACAAGCTCCCGATCGGGTAACTCCGTGGATAGCTCCGGGCCTTCTCCACGCAAGCGGGTCTCCGGTTAAGTCACTCGTGGCAAAGCCTCTCATGGACCGCTCTCTCGCCATCTTCACTATCAAGCTTTCGGCCGAAATGCCGTGGGCCTTATTCCCTCCGGTACACGGTGGCATCCACACCACAAACGTGGTTTGTGTGATCTCGCAAGACTACAAGCCCCTCCGATGTACAACAATGGTGCGCGCAAGCACTGAGTGGTAAGAGATATGTAAACCTCACTAAACACTAGGCCTAAACCTAGAGCAAGCGCATAAGTGGTGGTCTAATCAACATAAGCACTTCACAAAGCACCTATGCTAATCACCTAATGAATCACTAAGCACTATACAAGTGGATATCACTAAAATAGTGTATCAACAGCCTTGGTATGTTTCCTCAGCTCTCCACTTCTCAAATAGCCGGTTGGGGGTCTATTTATAAGCCACATAGAGAAGTAGTCGTTGGGGCCAAACCCAGCTTTCTGCAACTGACCAGACGCTGATGTCGTCCTGACCGGACGCGTCCGGTCGTCCCGCCCATTGAGCGCGCGCGTAGAGATCGAGACGCACTGCCGAGTCCAGTCATCATCGATCGGACGCGTACGGTTGTATTTGCGCCGCTCTAAAACATCTCTGGACATGATCGGACGGTGAACTTTGTGCGTCCGGTCATCCAGTGCCCCTGCGTCCGGTCCTCACTTAGTTGTTGCCGTGATGATGAACAGTGAAGTTCGTGCGTCCGGTCACTGCCTCGCTTAGCGTCCGGTCACTACTGCTGATGCCTGTTGTTGCCGAGCAACTGATCGGACACGTCCGATCCTCATAGTCCGGTCCTCATAGGGCCGCGTTCGGTCACCTCTGTCGAGCTCGTTTCTTCCCGATTTTGCGTCCGGCTTGATTCCCATCTTCGTGCTTGGACTTTGCTCTATATCTTGGGTCCTCTCTTGTGCTTCTAGGGTCTTGCTAATGGTGTTGATCGTGGGATCATGATGTCGCCCTCGTCCAAGTCACGTCTTGCACCCTATTGAACTACAAAACAATTACTTGCAAATTCATTAGTCTAATTTGGTTGTGTTGGTCATCAAACACCAAAATCCAAAGTAAATGGGCCTAGGATCCATTTTTCTTACAATCTCCCCTTTTTGGTAATTAATGACAACACGACCAAAGCAAGCAAATAATAAATTTTTTGAAATTTAAAAACTATTTACTTGCTAGGATGCAATGCAAAGGGCAATGTTATATGATGCTAAAAGATACCACATGTAAACATATTTGAAAACTTATCTTGTCCTTGCAAATGTCCCCATGTGGCATTATGGATTTAAGCCTCCCCATAACTCCATAATCTACTATCCTCCCTCTCTCGGACTATTACCACTTATAAATTATTATGATCAGGCTTGCTTTTGGTCCTACAAATTCTCTCCATTTGAAATCAAACACCGAAAAGGAAGACATTAGTAGCACAAAGGAGGGTCAAACTTTGTGATCCTTTGTATGTCGAGTGGAATAGGTCACAAAATTTGACTCTCACATTACATAGACTAAGCTCCCCCTAAATATATGCATACATATGATGGAGAATATAGTTTATGCATAATTGACAAATTAATGCTCAAGAGAGTTTAATCTATATAATGCATGGAGAAAGCATATAAATATCAAAGTGAAATCAACATGATGATATCGGTTTAGAAATACCACATGTAGAAATCAATTTGATTTATACCACTTGCAATAGGTGGTGGATATTTGAAGTATGATGCTTAACTCCGGGGACTCCATTTTCCTTGCAATGAGACTACTACACACATGATAAGCTTGAAAAGGTGTTAGTCTCAAAACATCCAACTTGTAGAGTAACCTCCCCCTAAATTTGGGCACACAAGTATGGTATACTTGTAGGAGACATGCACATTGATTTTAGAATAAAAAATACCACTTGAAAGATGACATCACATGAATATGAGAATCATTTTCGAAAGTGATATTCGAGAGAAATTATCTACAATTTAGACTTTAGTACATATTAGATGAACAATTGTAAAACAAGCTATGTGTCGTGCTACTAAACAATTTAAACCATGTATGTTTGCTCCAAGGGTTAAGAGTGAAACCGAGCAAGCCTACCATAAGATATACCTAGTGTATGCAAGACAAAAGATTAAACATGTAAATTAAAACCTAGGCATGAAAAGGAATTAGATGCTAATTGAAATTATAAGAAATTAAATCTAGTTACATAACATAGAAAGGGAAATTTGGGTCCATAGTATTCACTAACCCACTTGGCAATTACTTTGTCCATAATGATGCATCCCATGAAATGCACCCATACTTTGCCAAGTCTCCAAATTCCCAAAGTCCATCGAACTTCTCACTTCCCTTTCAGGATCCAAATCTTCTTGATAATCATCATGTTGGAAATGATCTCCTTAGGCACCCAAATGCATTTGGCCCCATTGTTGGCTTGCTTGTTCACCTTGATGGCCACCACCTTGTCATTTTTCTTCTTCTTCAAGAGATAAAGTGTGGAGACCTTTTTGTCCACCTTGTTGGAGTAGGTGTTGGAGAGCTTGCTTGTTTCCTTTTTGTTTTTCTCTTTCTTCTTAGCTCCCCCCGATTCTTCACCTTGCACTCATAGGACTTGTGGCCTTCTTTGTGGCACACGTAGCAAATCATGGTTTGTCCTTCATCAAGCTTCTTCACTCCCTTAACGGTGTTATCTTGATGATGTTGGGCTTGCTCCATTTTGCCTTTTACTTGAGTCAAGTCCTTGGTAAGACGAGCCACTTCTTGCTTGAGTTGCTCATTCTCCATTGTGACCTCTTGTGTGCATGTATCTACAACAACTTTCTCAACACAAACTTGCTTGCACAAGGGTGAGTCAAAACATAAATCATTACAAAAAATAGAAGCATCCTTTCTAGGCATGTCAAAGATAGAACTTTTCTTTTTAGGTGCCTTGGTGAGGGTTGTACTGACGGCTTCAAGATTGGCAACTTTATTAGTTAGCTCATCACAATGTTTACACATGGTTTCCATTTTAGTAAGCAAACTTTTATAAGCATCTTGTGAGCTAGCTAACTTTTCTTTTAATTTTTCATTTTCTTTACAAGTTGCT